TATATATATATATATATAAGTTCGTTTATGACCTTATGTAAAGTAGGTTTTGTCATTGATTATACGGCTGAAAGCCTGAATTTTCCATACAGCGTTTAGAGGATGTCTCCATTGTTAAATTTTAAAAGAACATGTCCAATGGTTTAGGCAATGAGGCTGGGTCACAGGCTGACTGACTGACAGACAGGGCAGACATGACATCCTCTTAGTGTGTAAAGAGTGCACAAGGCTTATGAGATCATCATGCTCTCTATATATGGATATGCGTATCCTTCCTTTCAAAGTCTGAAACAATTGACTGATCATTCAAATTATACTTGGAGAAGAGTCAAGTTATGAAGCTCCTCATTATGCAGTTTCCTCCATCCTCCTCTCACTTCATCTCTCTTCGGTCCAAATATTCTCAACACTCCGTTCTCCCTTAAAGCCAGAGACCAAGCTTGACACCCATACAAAACTGCAGGAAAAATTACACTTTTGTATATTCTAATTTTTATGTTTTTAGACAGCAGACAAGAAGACAAAAGGTTCTGAACTGAATGGTAGCATGCATTACCCAGGTTCAGCCTCCTCTTAATTTCCTCCTGAATCAGGTTTTGATTTGTTAGTCATTCCCAAATATCTGATCTGTGCCACATTTTCAAAACATTTGTTACCTATCTTTATGTTATGATTTTGCCTTGCATTTTGGTGACGAGATAGCAACATATACTTAGTTTTCTGTTTACTTCTAGACCAACCTACTTACCAGTGTCAATTAAAGTTTGTGTTTCTCTTTATGTTATCTAAACTATCACCCAGTAGATTCACATCATCAGCACAGACCAACAGTTCATGTGTCCTATTTAATTTCAGTCCCACCCGGTTTCCTTGGACCTTCTTAATGCCGTATTCTAAAGCAAAGTTGAAAAGCAGTGGCGATAAAGCATCTCCATGTTTTACACCATTCTGGATACAAAAATTATCAAATGTTTACCTAAACGGACTTTACCATATGTTTCGTTTAAACACATTTTAATCAGCCTGACTAGTTTCGTGGGTATCCCAAACTCTATTAGAATATTGTAAAATACTCCCCTCCTAACTGAACTGTAGGCTTTCCTGGAAGTTTATGAATAGCTGATTACTGTCTCACTGTACTCCAATTTTTTTCCAGTATCTGATGAATGCAAAAGATCCGATCAGTAGTTTATCTGTTACGTTGAAACCCACACTGATGATCCCCAGTAACTTCATCTATGTATGGACTTAACCTTGAGAGGAGAATATTGGATACAATTTTGTATGAAGTTCATAGCAGTGATATCCCTCAATAATTACTACTATCAGTTTTATCACCCTTCTTGTGAACTGGTACAAAAATAAATAAATGTGGGAACCTCAACATCTCACAACCCTATGGGACACCACAGCCTGTTACAGGGATACTTTTACTTTACTTTTACTTATTACTGATAAGATTAAATTACCTTATACTCACTAGAAGCATGCTGGAAAGTGGTGCAAGAACAGGATGAACAGTTTACACTGTCAAGAGGAAATACATGAATAAATACTGCAAAGTGGAATTTAATTTCAGTAAGGTCAAGCAGCGGTGACACAGACATTTGTCAACTCATTCAATTTATTTCTGTTTAACAATTACATGTCATGTAACAGCCTACACAATTTTAATTCAGTAATTTCATCGTGGCTCTGTAAATACAGTGTCTCTTCTTATGGGGTCACAGCTTAACTTTGGTTGAGCGCTACCAGTTAACCCAGACTGAAGTCTTGCACAATTGGTTCTTATGAATAAAAGCAACTCACCTCAGCAGGATACTTACTGAAATTTTGTCTGACAATTTTTACCCAAATCATACTTCATGATACAAAAACAATATATGTTTCACCCAGAATGATAACCAATTAATCCTTTAATTCACAGTGACAATATACCACCTGCTTTAATATACAAACAATAATAAAAAAACCCCTCTGTATTCTGCCCACAGAGTGAAATATGTTTGATTCTTGGAACGACAGCAATCATTTCCTTCCATAGCCTTAACCAAATCTTTTTAAATGGAGATGCACTGTTTTTCTTGTGAGGTGGGAACTAAATTTTTATACACTAGTTTGGTGAAATTCAAGTTTCACAGAGTTAACAAGCTCTTTAACATTGCTGCAGTAATATTCATTCAGAGATAAAGCCAAAAATGAAAGCATGCTCTTATAAGGATGAATAATTTCTGTGGCATAGTGCTCAGCCAAGTAATCTGAAACCAACATTAGAATTAATTGGTACAGCTCAGCCAAAAATAGGCCAATGATGCTGACAGTTGGGAAGTGATGGGAGTACTCAAATTTGTAAGATACAACATAGTTATTCACACAGCATTTCATAAATGAATATCTCAAATCCCTAAGACATTAATGAATAAAACTCATCATATACGGATGTTATACAATTAATTAAAAATGGTGGAATGGATGTCTGCACAGTAAGGCAACGCGAACATGACAATGTCATCATTACATCAGCCTAGTCTTCATATATCCAAGCTTCACAGGCTGGTCTCCAGGCAATCAGTTCTTTGGGCTCAAACCACAGATTTATCTCCTTGTTCGCAGATTCCACAGAGTCTGAACCATGGATGATATTTCTGAAACATTAATACCATCCAAATGATTGGTATGCTTGATATGTCTTAATACTATTTGGGTTATCAATTCACAAAAGTGATTACTATCAAGATATAAAAAGACATCCATACAAAAATGTGTTCCTAAGTACTCTTGCCCCCAGAACACTGTCTGTTCAATCAAAATTTGTGTGTTTGAACATTTACATAAAATAATCACTGAAGCCATTGAAAGTACACTTCAGAAATTTTGAGATGAGTAAAAAGTAAAGGTATTCCTGCAACAGGCCGTGGGGGCCCACAGGGTTGTGAAATGTTGAGGTTCCCACATTTTCTAGACAATCGGCTCACAGATGGTGGCAAGGTCGTCAGCCTTATGCGCCAGTTGCCCTTTACCCCCAAGAACATCCTGTTAGAGGCTTAGTCGACCCCAGGGCCATAGTGCGGCTGGAAGGATTAGGTCAAAAGAAAAAATCCAGTGACCTCATTGGGACTTCAACCCGCGACCTTCTGTGAGTATGGATATCAATTCGGTGTCAAACAGATGACTAATGATCATTAACAGCGTTAACATTTAAATTTAATCATAATATTTAGTAAATTCTAAATCCCTTTAGACAGAAACAAGAAAGAGAAGTCAATTACTCCACAAAAGACTATCATTTAAAATATAAAACTTATTTTTGATGACCTGGCATTCACCTGCACAAGGCCATCCACAATTCATGATGCTATACCCCATTTCTGATTAGAGAGGCTTAGATTCAATTCAGATGTCACAGGGAATTTCTTTATAAAAGGTTATCAACTCCGTCCAGTGTGACTGATAAATGTTTTTTTTCTTCTTCCCTTTTTTAATCTTCCATCCTTAACATGTTTCGGTCTAAAACCATCTTCAGATGGACATATCAATACAAGCAGAAACTATTACAATGTGACTGGTAAATATCAATACATACATACAATATCATGCACATAAGACCTGAGCCTTTAACAACTACAGTCATGTGCATGAATATATTAAAATATTTATAAATGATAATTAGTTTACTTAAAAGTTTGCTTTAAAAAGACTGTGTTAAAATTCAGAACCTTTTATAATATTGATAGTGTGATGGGCCAGGATAAACCAAATCAATTTTATCGAAGCAGGAATTTTTTTCTCAGTGCACTTTTGTGGTCCCCTACCAATCTTCATTCTTGACACTTCATACTGATCTATCATATCTGAGAAGTCTGCAAGTATAAGTGGCATGACCCAAAGTTTTTTTCAGTAATTCGTGCATCACTCCTCTTCTTTTAACAAAATTATTAACAATTCTTTGCTTACCTGATGATGCTGTTCCAACTGCACATGTTATAGGACTCAAAATTTAAAGATGGAGAGCAGATAAGGATTTGAAAGGAAGTACTTGTAGCCTACCTGAGGATACTATTCTAATATCTGCTTAGACAGACTGAGGAAGTCATTAAAATTGTATTAGGATAGGTGTTACCCTGAAAGATTGGAATTGGTAGCTCCTGAATATTGCCATGGTCTGGCATTTTGGAAATTTCCTGTTTCCATCCTCAGAACAAATCTGGCTCATCAGTTCAATGTTAGCATAGCTATCATACATAGAATATCTGAGACAACCATGTAGTTTGTGGCTGACAATTTCCATTATAGGAAACACACATTTCATGGCAGTTATTTCAGTTGACATAATTTCCCCCTAACATATGGCAAATTTCAACTATACACATCATATGACACAGATTTTTATATGAAGGCCAACTTATGACATGAGAGACATCATAACAGGTGCAACTTGTGAAACTGAAATGGTCAGCCACACTTGTTATTTTAATCCTTTGAGGAATAGTGCAAATCTGTCTTTGCATCAACAAATGTACATCAAACATTATGTTCACCTGCCAACTTGGATGCAAAGATCTCCTCTGATGGTTCCTGGGTTAGAATCCTTGGGATCGGTAGCTCCCAACATGAATCTGCCTGTTTTCACAACATTCAGGCCTTCCCAAACCTAAAAAAATTCCAAAAAATTCTTTATGTCTATTTTCATCCAAAATTAAACTAGAATTCAGATCACCCAATCACCCTGATTAACCTTCCAGTGCCGGGCGACGTACATAGCATGTCGGCATTTAAATGCCACATCTCGCCAGGCGACACTGTGGTGCGTCTTGTGCTGCTTTTCATGTAAAGTAATACTTTTGCTATGAAATGAAAGAGGAAATTTCTGTCTATCATTTCGTACATTCGTTATCTCACTTTGAACTTCCCGGGGTATTTTTTTTTACATTAGAAGTCTCTGAAGAAGTTTTGTAGCTCGCTGTCTAGGGTGCAGTATTGCCGTACAAATCTATCTCCATCTCTTGGAGTAGTTAGGAACTAAATATGCTAGGTTTATAGTCTGTGATCTCCTTGCGTGTTGGTCGAAGCAAAGCCTGTGATCTCTCTGTGTGTCGATCGAAGAAAAAAATCGATTTCCATTCAGCCAGTGACGAGTGCTGCCTCTTGAACGGAATGAGAAACCACGTGTAGAAAACCTAACAAGAAAGATATGTGACGCTGACCTCTGATGACTGCAGTTGGAAATGATAAACAAATGCCCTGTTTGCATTCTTTGAGGTTCCCTTTTGTTCCACATAGCTAATGCAGTTTGCATGTAGCAGCCATGGCTGGAACAAGCAAGAGACGTTCGTGTGTGTTGAGTGACGAGGACATACAGTGTTTGGTTGAAAGTGATTCGGAACAAAGTCTGTCAGATTCGGATTTTGACTCTGAAAACGAGTTAGATGATTGTGCCTTGATTGATGCTGTTGGAAATGAGGGCAGTGATCAAGGTAACAGTGCAAATCAAGAATTCGTTTGGGAGGATATGCAGAACTATAGGGGTCAGGGAGAACATTTCACGGGCAGTGTTGGAGCTCAAGGCCCTGCGAAAGATGTAACGGAAATTGTGGGCGTTTTCGGGTTGTTTTTCGACAAGGAACTTATTGAGACCATAGTCGCAGAAACAAATAGATACGCGGAGCAGTTTCTATGGGGGCGTGAACCATCAGTGAGGTCGCATTCTAAGGCATGGAAACCCATGACAGAGGGAGAGATTTATGTTGTCTTGGGTTTGTTCATGCTCATGGGCATTGTACAGAAACCAACTCTTCGGTCTTATTTTACAACAAAAAGAGTAATTTCAAAACCGGGATTTAGAGACATTATAACGCGAGACAAACTGGAGCTAATATGTAAATATTTGCATTTTGCCAACAATGAAAACATCAGCACTTTTGAAGGACCAAGAAAACTGTTCAAAATTTACCCAGTAATTTTCCATCTCAATAAGAAATTTCAGGAACTCTGTCTCCCAAACCAGGACATTTCAGTTGACGAATCTATGACACTTTGGAAAGGCCATCTGTCTTTCAAACAGTACCTCCCTCTGAAGGCAGCCAAATTTGGAATTAAAACTTACGAGTCACGTGACTCCACCATGGGGTATTTATAGTCATTCATCGTATATACAGGCAAGGATACAGAACTTAACTCCCCCTTGATCACAGCAGACACCAATAAAACTTCAGCCATTGTCCTGAAACTGGTAGAACCTCTCCTGAATCAAGGTCGGACTCTGTGGATGGATAATTTTTACAATTCCTCAACTCTGGCCAGGCTACTGAAGATAACGCACAAGACCAACTGTGTTGGCACTCTGAAATTGAACTGTAAGAATGTGCCCCCAAAAGTGAAAAACACTAAACTAAAAAAAGGCAAAATAGTGGCACAACATTCTGGACCCATTTCTGTCACAAAGTGGTTCGACAAAAAAATAGTCACCATGATCTCCACCTATCACAGTCACGACATCAGGACATCAGTTAGAGGCAAGGAGGTGGCGAAACCAGTTTCAGTATTGGACTACAATAAGTCAATGGGAGGGTCGATTTGAAGGACCAGCTGCTTCACCCTTATTTGATTGAGAAGAAGCGCATGAATAAGTGGTACATGAAGCTGTTTCGCAGGCTCCTGAACGCCTCAATTCTGAATTCAATGATAGTGTACAGGAGTAACACAGGCATACGAATTCAGCAATTATCATTCAGAATTCAGTTGATTGATGGCCTGTTCATGAAATATGCGAGTGCTGTGGAACATAAAGTGCCGGGTTCACATCCATCAGAGAACACAGTGCCCCGTGTAACAGAACGACATTTTATCAGCAAGATTCCTCCAATGGCGAAGAAATCTAGACCACAGAGAAAGTGCGTTGTGTGTCAGAAGTGCGGAAGGAGAAGGGACACAGTGTACTGGTGTGATGCGTGCGGCGTGGGCCTCTGCATTGAGTGTTTCTGCGACTACCACACACGACTGAATTTTTTAGGTAATGCAATACTATTGTTAATAATTTTTACATGCTTACTGACCCAAAAATTATTTTAAAGTAGTATGGATCAATACTCTAATTCTATATACTTCTCTGGATGTTGTGTGAAAATCTGAAAAACAAAACTCCAGTTTTTCCCCATTTATTAGGCTTTAAGTTAAGTGCTGCATTCTCCGATTTAATTATTTAAATAGCCGCCGGCATTGGAGTGGAAAAACGATTTAAATGCCCCCGGCACTGAAGGGCTAAGAATATAAGACACAAGTACACTGTATTACAATCAACATGTACAACCTTGATAAGTACAAATACGGTTCCCATATTAACATTTCTTTCTCCCTTCACTGAATAATGCCATGTACAGTCAACAACTTAAATATCAACTGAGGTATAACATTATTTGAAAGAAACTGCAGGGTCAACACTAAGAGATCTATCTTCTGGGACATAACACTGTACAGTCTGATGAAAGTCAACCAACTTTCTGGAGGAATAATACTGTCCTCATCTTCGTGGATGAAGGATACGCTAAGCAAGAAACCAGCATAAAGGAGGCAGTAACTTGCCTGTTTCATGGTTTCTTCACTGGACTATACAATATTATATCACAGAAAAAACAACTCCTCATAGCCAATGCTATGAAAACCTTGATTCCAACACTTAAAGTCAGGCAAAATTAATTCTGTTTAATAACCCTTACATCACCGGTCACGGTAGCCGAGCAGTCTAAGGCATGTACTGCCTTCGCTCGCTTGGAAACTGGGATCATGGGTTCAAAACCCACTCAGGGTATGGATGTTTAGTTTGTGTGTGCACGTTTTTCTGTGTTTGTGTACAGGTAGAGGCCTTGCGACGAGTTGATCAGCCGTCCAAGGAGTCCTACTGAATGTGTAAGATATAGAGAAACCGAAGTGAATGGAGAAGTTCATGGAAGTAGGCCTAGGCCCACTGGGGCTGTAGTGCCAAAGGAAAAAAAACCCTTACATCAGTTAACAAACTCTAACAAGACAGTGTGCCAGTTTTAACACAGACTAACACAGTGTAGCAGTTTTAACATAATTTAATAAAATATTTGTAACATATCAAGATGCCTGAAGATGGCCATTTGAGGCCGAAACATGTAGTGTCAAAGTGTATAAGGTTAAACTAAAACTAAAATTAAAATTAAGTAGTGAATAAATGAGTGTTGCAATGTTGACGGATGATAAATACATGGACGTTAAGTTAAACAATTGCAACATGATGCTGAAATACAGAATTATAAATTCTAACAAACCCTTCTTCTTACATGAACAACTGGTAAATGAAAAAGTTGTCCCTGTGTTTAATTAATTAATCACTATGCCATGAAGACATATGGAGGAGTGGAGATATGGCTCCACTTTTCTTGACCTCAGCACTATATGGAGGTGAGTGGTCAGCTACATGGCCCTGTGCCACTTCCCCCATACCCATTGGAACCTCTGGTATACCACAGATATGAAACCTCATAAACATTAATTTCTATTTGAAACATTTTTCAATGTTGCCAATACCGAATGAAATATGGGGGAAAATTATGATTTTTAACTCTATGCACTGTAATAGCTTCATTATAATGGATGCGAACCTACTAAAACAGTGTTGTATATACAATAAATAAAGGCCAATATCACAGTGCCTAACTCCAACCTGTGCCCACTTTACCACTACCATTCTTTACAACACAGGTGTGGAAACAATATTATCATCTTGTTCGCACAAGAATGCAATGTAGCTCACCATCGGTACTACAGGTCCAGATGACATATATTTCACTAGGCCAGGAAAGAAAGGTCTGCCGGCTAGGTCAGCATAATGCTTCTTCAATAGGTCCTCTGACGGCTAAAATACAAATAAATACGTAATATCACAATTTACAACACACCAACGTCAACCAAACAGTAACTGTAAAAAGTGTATTAAACACAGTATATACATTCACACACTACATTACTCTTTCAAGAGGTGGAGGAACGCAATTTTCACACAAGGAACGTTTTCTTAGTTTCACAATCGCAAGCTCATATGTAAACACGTTTTTCTTTCAACCTACCCATGTGAATTTTAGGGCAACAAGCTTAAATCCTTTTGCTTCAAATCGTTTAATTATTTTGCCAACTAATCCTCTTTGGACACCATCGGGTTTAACCATGATAAAAGTTCTTTCCCTTGCTTCTGCCATAGCTTTCGAAAATAATGAAAAAATTGCTAAGACAGAACAAATAACCATCCGATGTCGTCAGCTTAAGACGACCAGAACCGGACCACGACAGATAAAACCGGAACAAGCGTGGATACAAAGAGGGCAGACGTATTTAGTATATATCTATCGATATCTACGTCTGGCCAACAAACCGAAACAATACAACGCCACCACCGTCGAATCGATACTTGTCAAACTATCTAGTAATCCGTGGCTGTCGACAGAGATGAGATGAAAGTGGCGGAAAGGAAGGTAAGTAGCTTGAGGCATACGGATTGGTACTCACAGAGATGGGAGGGGGGATGTCTCCCCCCCCCTCCCCAATTTAAAAAAAAAGATGCCGCAACACGTACTAATAATTAATTCTAATATCCAAAATACTCTTGGGTGACCAGCAAACATAGTCTTAAATGGCTTTGAATGTAAGTCTATATGCAAATTATCTGAATTTCTCCTAAAAATTCTAGCAGCACCAATGGTCACTATCCATTTGTTTTGGCATATATGCCCACTACCTATGAAACATTTATATTTATAATATATATAATATATTTATATTTATATAACATTTATTTATAAGTTGTCATCAACATACAAATGTTATTGTTTTAAAAGTTCCACATAGATATGACTTAGCATCTAATTCATGCATCAATGAAGAAGTAAAAACTTTTAATAGGAAGCTTGATAAATTAAAGAAGGCTCATCAAAATCTTTTTGAGGTCAGCATGGACATGGATAGGGATTTATTCACAAGACAGGGATTTCACCTAAATACTCATGGTAAAGAGCAGACAGCAAGTGACATCATCTCTGTTTTAAGTAATTTGTTCAAAGTAAAGAGAAAATCTCCTATTACTTTAATGTGGAAGGAAGAGGATCTGGATTGTAATAGTATCTCTAAGATTAATGAAAAAGGTGTTCAGTGTATTAAATCGAGTGAATGTGATTATGCGAAATCAGCTTTGGTTTCTCAGGCAAGCGCAAGTGTAAAAAAGATGATTGTTCAAGATAGTGTGAGTGGAGTCATAGAGATTCAAAGAACTAATGATCAATGTATTAAATCAAGTGAGTGGAATTATGTTCAGTCAGCTCTTGACTCTCAAGATAGTTCTTGTTCAAATATGAGTGTTCTCCAAGATGGTACATGGGATGAGTCAAAAATCCAACGAACTGATAAGGACTCAGTCAACCAAGAAATGACGGGCGCACCAGCAAAGAGAACTCGACGACACCCCCTTAAACGAAATAAAGATTTTTTATGGTAGATCATCCATTTAAGTCAACTTTCCATCCCCCTAAAGAAAGTTCAAATTTAACTCAGTATTTGAGTATTCTTCACCACAATGTACAAAGTCTGAGCAACAAATTACTAGAATTAAATGCACTGCTCTCGCAGTGGCCCAAAAAGCCAGATATTTTATGCTTTTCGGAGCACTGGCTTTTAAGTGATCAAATCTTGCATCTAAATATTGATCAATATAAACTTGCGGATAGTTTTTGTAGAATAAATGATAAGCATGGTGGTTCTTGTATATTTGTTTCCAAATCAATTAAGATCAG